TATGATCATAATTCACAATACAACTTTGGTATTCAGAAGGTCCAGGGGTAAGTTTGTAACACCTCCAGTACCAGAAAAACACAGGGAGAGATTATGAAAAGCAGAATTCTTGCTGAAAACTTGGATGGTCGCTGCCAGCACTTGCGTGATAGACGAGATTAAAATGGTTTCTTTGTTTGCTTTTAGATCAGGAAGTCCTATATCTCCTAAGGACTTTAATCAAGGCCCCTTTCACATCTTTATTCTTCAGACTGTACACCATGGGATTAAACATAGGAATAATGATGCTATAGAACAAAGATATGGTTTTGTCCTGACCTGGAGAGTAACTTGACTTGGGTCTCATGTACATAAATATGGCGCTGCCGTAAAAAAGAAGCACCACAGTCATATGGGAGGCACATGTTGAGAAAGCTTTGTGCTGACCTTGTGAAGAACGGATTTTCAAGACAGAAGCCAGGATGCGAATATAAGTCATCACAATGAAAGTGAGAGGGGTAAGCAGAGTGAAAATGCATCCCACCAAAGTCACCTTTTCAACTCCTTGAGTATCAGCACATGCTAGTTTCAGAACTGCTGGCATTTCACAAAAAAAGTGGTCAATGATATTGGAGCCACAGAATGGCAATTGCCAGGTGAGAACCAGGTGCACCACTGGCAACGAGAAGCCACTTGCCCAGGCTGCTGTGGCCAGATTCATTGACACTCGCTTGTTCAAGAGGAATGCATAGTGCAGGGGATGGCATATTGCTGCATATCTATCATACGCCATCACTGCCAGAAGGAAACATTCGGTTGTGGCCAAGACAAGGAAGATATACATCTGTATGGCACAAGAAACCAGAGAGATATGTTTGCTTGGACTGTGAAGATTGACCAGCATCTGAGGGACTGTGCTGGATGTATAGCAGATGTCTACACAGGCAAGGTGGCTCAAGAAGAAATACATGGGGGTATGGAGTCGGGGGTCCAGCCAGATGAGGATCAGTATGGTTGCATTGCCCATCAAGGTGATGGTGTAGACTGCAGAAAAAAGTCCCAACAGTAAGAGACGGACTTCCAGGCTGCTAGAGAGACCAAGCAGGATGAATTCAGTCACAAATGTTTGGTTTCTCATGATTCTTTCCTTGTCTAATTTTGGAGCAAACAAAGATAAACATGCAGAGAATGAAAATTAGTGGTCATGCCAACCATAATCAAAATCTTATACCTACAACAGCCCTCTTCAAGCAGTCTCCCCCATGCCAACCTTGCCTGTGATAAGGCAGAGCCCCTGCAATGAAAATTTGGGGATAAGAAACACCCTCACCCCTGCCACCTACAGAGGAGCCACTTCTAGGGCCACACATACGTGTAGAAGAGGGACAGAACGTTGCATCCCCTGCTGTTGATGTCTGCAGGTTCCATGTACCATCTTTAGATTAAGTGCAATACCTGTAAGAGGAGGCCTGCGGGAGGAGAGTTTTACCACATTTCCATATCGTCTTGACTTCTGTGTGATCAGAACTCCCAACCACTTGAGAGGAAATCTTTGTTTATGGACAGGCACACACAATGGAGGTCCCCCTAGCAGATGCCATGCTGAACATGTGGTGCCAGTAGGGCAGGAAAGGTGAAGTACATGTGTCGAGAAGACCACCTGAAAAGGGATAGTTTCTATGAGACAATTTTACTGGTTATTATTTCAAAAGCATACACAGAGATTGTTGTTTATGACATTATATAGATACCCTTTTCACCTATAACAGCCAAAATTACAGATGGGCACGAATTAAAAAACAAATCACCAAATTTGTTCAAAAGTCACTAATTTATTGATTTGTATTCGTACAAATCAATGCCCCAGACAAATCATGAATTTTTAGAGATTTTTTAATTTGCTTGGCTATAAAATGGCCCCTAAACACTCTGCTCCCCACACCACCAACCTGTCATTATAATTGTGGATTAAAGAGACCCTAGTAAACATGTTGCCTGTAAGTAATGGTTTCCAGGCAGGCCTTGTTCTGAGGGAAATTCTGTTCAAGATGGGAAAGCTAGAGTTGGGAAAGTGGGGAAGAAGGGAGTCTTAACTATTTCTTGCCCACTTTCTCTGCTCCACATCACTCCTGCTGGCCCTGTCTTCATCCCTCAAGCATCAAGACAGAAGGCAAAAATCTTGTCATTCTGTCCTTTGTTCATTTTTTTCCTAGTAAGAAAAAAAAAAAACGAATCTCATCTTTTGCCCAGCTTCCTGGTCAGAGACTTAAGCAGCTTTTCAACTCAGCATTTTAAGGAATGTTGTCCCGAGCCCTCTTTTTCAAAGCGTTCTTTCCCTCTTCCCTCTTTCTTTCTGTTTCCTTTATTTGTTGAGCACGGTCTACTGCTACACTTATGCTCCTCAGAGCAAGAAGGTTTTGCAATTCCAGCCTCCCGCCCACAGTCATTCCCTCCCTCTCTCTCTCTTGAAGTGTTAGGAGATAAGCACATGGGGGGGGGCAGGGGCAGGTTGACTGGACACTTACAGATGCCAAAAGAAATGAAACGGTGGAAAGATACAGTAGATGTAGTCAAATGGGTGCTGGTTCCTGCACATTTAAAGCAGTGGCAACAAGAGCCCCCAGGAACATGTGGATCAGAGGACAAGCCACCAGAAACACAGCCACAGGGTCACCAGAGCAGGGATAACTGAAACCATAGATGGGAGGGCAGGTGGAGTGGACCTTTCACTCGTGCCTGCAATGTACAGGATAATCACCAGCATCTTCAGTCCATCGTACATGCACAAGGCACAGCAAATACGAGAGAATTGAAAAAGGGAGCACACTAATGGGTCTGAGCATTCACAGACTTGTTTAAGCAGGAGGTGGGTGGGTGGGGAAAAGGGGGGAAAAAATAAAAGACCCTGGAACATGAAGCGCCAACACCAGTATTTCTTTAAATTTCAAGCCAATTAGGTTGTTGTTGTTTTTCAAATACACAGAATTAAAATTTTAAGCACTTTCCAAAGGATTTTTCAAAATACAGGAAACCATTGCTAGACTCAACACCCAACAATGTAATGTAGAAATACTAAATGAATGCAAACGGTGGGATTTATAAACAGAGTGATAAAATTTCCTCCCATACAAACCGCTTTCCCAGAAAGGTGGACTTTTGAAGGTACCACAATACTTTTGCTCTCGTTTCTGTTTTGTTTTTGTGGTGCATGAAATAAGGCAAAATTGATTTAAAAAACAACAACACTATGCCTACCTTTCAGTTCTGGATGACTTGACATGATTTTTATATAGCTAATAGAGTGGTCTTCCTGAATATGCCTCCTGTATGGGTGGCCACTGGGCTGGGCATAGGGACAGTGAACAGGATAGTCTCTTGCTCCTACTTTGCCTCACACACGAAGACACACAGGCTGTGAAGACAGAAAAAGTCTGCATTAATTCTTCCTGGAGTCAGCTCGATGCTTCAGTACTCCTTTGATCAGAAGAAGGAGCAATGAAATAGCAACCAGAATCTTGTTTGCACTCAGCATGCCCCAAAACAACATTGTGGTGTTGTCATTGGCTAAGGGCATTCCCTTGCCAATACCACCTCCCCCCCCCATGACCTGAGATTTATTGCAAGGATTTAAAGAAAATTAAAATGGAAAGTTGGGGGATTGGCTCTTGGGAGTCTTGAAAGTTAATTCAGTTTTTTCTGACTTTGTTTAAGACCATATCCACATACATTAATTGAACTTCCCAATTGTTACTAAATATCCCTAGGTAATCAACGCAGATTAAGCCTTTCAGTAACTAGTTTACCAACCCTTAGAAGGTACTGGGAGCATTCTTTAGATGAAAGGGAAGAACAGCAATTCGTGCAGTCCCCATTGGGCTGTCAATGCCATCTTGACCCGATCCTTTGGGTCCCCTGCTACCTGTGTAACAGGACACTTTATAGATGTCAACAATCGATTAAGTGACTTTTATATTCATGTCTGCTTTCAGCTTTCCCTGAACTCTAAGTAACAATGTCCAAATTGGGCCCAAGTAGCCATTTTCCCTCCCTGGTGTCAGGAGACCCCTTAGTGTCACAAGTCTCAGGTGTGAAGGGGGTAGCAAGTGTTCTTGCTCTCACTCTCTCAGATTAGTCATTGGAAGTTCCACATGGCACCTCATGATAATGAAATATCTGAGGATCTGAAAAAAATGAATTGTTGCTCTACATAAAGATGGACTAGGCTATAAGATTGCCAAAATCCTGAAACTGGGCTGCAGCATGGTGGCCAAGACCAGATAGCAGTTTAACAGGACAGGTTCCACTCAGAACATGCCTCATCATTGTCATCTAAAGAAGTTGAGTGCCCATGCTCAGCATCATATCCAGAGGTTGGCTTGGGAAAATAGATGTATGAGTGCTGCCAGCATTGCTGCAGAGGTTGAAGGGGTGAAGGGTCAGCCTGTCAGTGCTCAGACCATACGCCACATACTGCATCAAATTGGTTCCCAGGGCTGTCATCCCAGAAGGAAGCCTTTTCTAAAGATGATGCCCAAGAAAGCCCACATACGGTTTGCTGCAGACAAGCAGACTAAGGACATGGATTTCTGGTACTGTCTTTTAATTATATAAATAAATATTAATAAAAATATTACAGAAGTATATTTAATTAGGAAAAAATAACTCAGTTAAGTCACGTCTCTGTAAGTACTTTAATAGGCTGTCATTAATAAACGAGAGCATAAACAATTACAATATCACATCAGCATATAGTAAAAAAGTTTTATCCACCAACAAATTCCTTTCCCAAAATAACCAAGCTGCTGTAAAAAAATTATTTTATCAAAGATGTTTGAAAAAGTAAAAAAAGGAAGCACAATTCAAAGCACTTTCAAACTCAGTTCAAAAGAGCCAAAAGCAATTAAAAAATCTGTGAAGTCAATACTTATTCAAAAAGCTAAAAGACTAGGTTAATTCAAGAATACTGTAGTTCTCAGAGAAAATAAAGCTAAGTATCCTGTGCTGATACTTACAATACAGGAGAAACATGGCATAGTTCCAGAGCATACATACAGTGCAGATTAAATAGAAAAGAGTGTAACTGTCTTCTTAGAGAAGCTAAATCAAAATAACTAATTTCTATATTCCATTTTTATACCCATCATCCACCTTTTCAGACCTTTCAAGAGTAGTCCACCAATCAGATTCTCACTCATCCTGAACCTTCTAAAAGGGAGTAACTTTTCTTCTAAGCAACTTCCCTCATGTTCCTTTTTTTCCTTCTGCCTTCTGTTAAGATGAAGCCATTTTCAGTTAATGAAAGGTACCAAGAAAAGATCCGCTTATGACTTTGGTTTCCACCAGATAACACCCATCTGCGAGTTGTCCCCAAATTAATGGACAGTTGTTCCCCCTCCTTTCCACTTTTCTCCATCACAAGTCAATACACTTAAATTTTAAAGGTCAAGAGAAAACTATTAACCCCCTTTTTGTCAGTTTCCTAACCTGCGTTCCCTTCTGGAGCTGATCTCTATCTCCTTTAGGTGCACATAACAGCATAAAAGCATTCAAACATGAGGCTACATGGTGTAAAGTTAAACAATTAAATAAAACTTAACACTTAACCTAATACTGATACATTTAATAAAAGTACATCCAAAAACCCATAGTCCACATGTGAATTCCTACTCTAGCTAACAAGTGAATAAATAGCTATTCTAGCAAGCTAGGGTAATTTAAGAAACACAGTAGCATATAAAGGTAAAGGGAAACACTGAAAGGCACTTATTTGATGAAGTGTATACAGAATCTGAAAATGCAAGAGGTAAGAACACGTATAAAATATTACAGCTCTGACAATTCAGATATATTGACTCATTCTTCACCAAAATACATTCTGGAAAAGCCATCTTACTACCACATTCTCAAAAACTCTGATGTGCTGAACTTCAAAGATGAAATCCTGTAGACATAGGTTCCATCTCAGCAAATGGTGGTTATGATTCCTTAGGTGCTGAAGCCACATGAAAGGAGTATGATCTGTTTGCAGCAGAAACATTCTTCCCCACAATTATGGTCTCAGTGTTGGAAATGTCCAAACTATTGCAAGACACTTCTTAATTACTGAATAATTTATTTTATGGCATAAATGCGTCCTGT